CTCGGAAATGTAACCACTGGGCTACAGGGGGAAACCATGACGTGCTTGGGAAATTTAACGGTACCTATATACACATACAATGTAGTTGTATTGACAGCCTAATCTATCCTTGGAAAATGTGCTATGATTGATCAAGGTCCATTTCTAGGCTTTGCCCGTAATTAACATCCAACTTTTTACGGCAGCCAGAAAGAACATACAACGGAAAAGGTAGCCAGTGTTAAAGGGCCGAGAAAAACAGAAAGGAAAGGGGCAACAAACAAAATTGAGAACGGCTGATGGGAAAAAAAAAATTGGCTTATGCGCATGCCCGGGATTGAAATTTTGCTCAATTTTGTACTTAATCGTCGAAAAATCTATCCTTTTAGTACAAAAAAAAGCTTTCTTAGCAAAACTTAGGCTTATTTAGCGTAATGGCAGCTAAAAAACCTGACTAAACGGTTAAAAGCGGTATTTTTTGGCGAAAGTTTGGTATTCAAAGGGTTAAAAGTATCAGAATAAATTTTTGTTGGCCAACATATCTCTTGAACCAAAGAAATGGAAAAGAAAAATGAAAGAGAAATATACGAAGAATTAGACAGTCTCGCCTAGTTTCAATTCGAGTTGAAAACTTATGGAACTAAGTTCCTTTTTGAGTAGTTCCAGTCCACCTTGCTCACTCCCCCGCCGTCCGCGCTTTTGCTAACTCGATCGGAAGTGAAATTTCACGTTTTCAGATGTCTAAAGGCTAAAGGGCGGTGAAGAAAAGTAAAACAATACGGGATTTTTTTCTCGATCTCATGTTGATTATCATTGATTAATATTGATTTTCATTGATCATAAAATAGTAGTCATTCATTTTCAGTAAAACGCACCATCTGAATCCATCCGATAATCTTTATTTGCTCTGTTATATGTTATGACTAATTATATGTTAAAATTTGCAGCGTTTTTTATAACAGTTTCCCACCAAAATACGTGTTAATTACCAAACACCTCGAATGTCGTCAAAAATACTTTGCCGCGCGTCGTATTTTCAACTCTCTCCTCGATGTTTGGGTATCGTGATGAAACACTCTCGTGTTTGATGTATTACAGGAAAGAATGCAACGACTCTATAATACAGTGAAACATGGAAAAATCTATGAAGAACGAAAACAACTCGTGTAATGACCAAAAAAATGTTGCAGCATGATATATGACCATGTCCACGTCTCCTCAAGCCATAAAATAAACAAACATGACATCAGAAGATTAGAACTGCTGATCAGCTTTTGGCAAAATGTTCCACAAATCAATAGAGAATAAGTGATCTAGAAAGCAATAAACACAACCATCAATAAAGTGACTGTATGGGCAACTCGTCCAATGTTGCAAAAGAAAACAGAATGTCTGCTTCAGCGATAGTAGGATAGTAGTCTGTATGCTAGCGCGTTTGTTCACTGCTGACCGAAAAAGCGCAGGCTCTTCGATGAGAGCAACAGGGTGAGGCCACAGGGCGATGTAAATTTGTGGACATGCGCGCAGCAGGATAAAGGAGAGGCAACTAGGGAGAGGGCAACAGCGTGACAGTCTCTCATTGTTTCTGTCAGGGTGTCTTGTTCTTTCGAGTTCGCGGGTTAATTAGTGCGACTGGAACTGAAGGCATGCGGAATAGGGTCTGCCCAGTAGTTGCACGAAACCTAGGAAGTGCTATTTCGGGATCTTTGCGTGCTGAATCATGTGAGCATAGTCTACCACTACTATTATTTTTTTTTTTTTTTTTTTTTGCGAAATGTTTCCTTTCTTGCCCCACCGGGGAAAAAGAATGCCTTATCGCAGCTTATCTTTGCAAGTAGTGATCAAACAACAGAAAAAGGGCACAGCGTTCTAAAATCGCTTTCTAAAGCACGGCATCAGAAATGAGGAATACTAGAATTCTCGGAGATGGAAGAAATAGTTCAAATTATAAAATACACAATACTCTTTCCCTCAATAGTTCTTTCTATACTTTATTCTCCAAATCCTCAGCTCTCCTAATTTTTAAATGTGATATGTTACAGCTCGAACTGAAAACTTAGTTTAACTGACAATGGCCTACTGTAAAGCTTGAAATTTATTCTGCAGAGTAACAACAAACATCAAGTGTGTCTTATTGGAATTACCACCTTCCCTCCTCCTTTTGGCTTATTTTCCTTCAGAAAGCACCCCTTTTTTTCAGGCCAGAAAACAAAGAAGTCATAGTCACCAGATTCCACGACATTACAAAGACTACGTTTTGACGGGATCTCAATTTTCCCAAAGGAAGCCATTACAATAGACGAAATTCGTTCAACTTTACACATTCTGCAACGCACAGTACCAGTACACTTGTTGTACCTATTTTTGCAGTGAATTGTAAGATCTTATACAAACAATGCTGTGGACACCCGATAGAATGCTTGTTTTTTTAACTTCCGCTGTTACATAACATTATTTTCCTAAATGAATAATTTATCTATACATCCTCAGTGTCTAGCTGACAAATACAGTGTGAAGTGTTCTGAATTCTTGCGGTTTCAAGGTGACACAGTATTTGTTGGATTTGGTTTGAGATGGCATAGGAATTGTGATTCGTCCCAGCTGAGGAGCCTGAGCCTTCTCTTGCAGAACCTGTATTAAAGAAAAATCAATATTATAAATAAAATACAATTTTAAAGCAAAGTTCGTTCATTAAACTAGAAAAAAATCGCAGCAGTGACAGTCAGAATTTTTGAGAGAAAGACCGACCAACCGTTCAAACGAACGAATGAATGGCAGAATGAGTTGGTGATCAAATGAAAAAACGAATGAGCAAACGAACGAACGAATGACAGACAATGAATTAGTGATCAAAGGAAGTAACGTTCAAACGACAGACTATATGATCACCTCGTCAAACAAAGAACGATAATTAAAGGAAAGTTAAGGCTAATAGCAACACCAAACTGATTACCTTAGAAAAGGTTGGCGACAGGAATGACGAAAAGGAACTGTGGGACGTTCCTCCTGGATACTCCGCTGCTATCAACTTTTGTATTTTGCCTTGGAGCTGGAAGGAACAATAAAGAGGTAAGTTTGAAAATCAGTAAAACGGCAGACTTTAATTTTTAACTAATTCGCTAAATTTCATTCGTAATCTAGGACATCCCTTGTCTGCACCAGTTGATGAATTTTCATGCGCAGATAACATCACCTTCATCAAGGTGTCAGATATGAAATAGACGAACAAAAGCCCTTTACTAATAGGGTAAATAGCGACAGTTACAACAAAAAAATTTGGTCTCTTAAATTTTTTTTCCCCAAGGACACGGACTTTCTTTGAGCAGTACCTGGAACGTTTTTAAAATTACATTTATTGTTCACCCTTACCAACCTACCAACCATCCACAAACGAATAAAATAAGCGCTGAAAAACTATCTCGTTTTCTTCGGTTTCACAACACACGTGATTTATAACCAACATGGAGTTCACGCGAGGCTCACCTCTTCTTTCTGTCGTTTAAGATCGCGTAAAATAGCCGCTCGCTCCACCAGATGATTAGCTGGGGTCAATTTACTGAGTGCAGGAACTGACCCTGTTTGAAAGGAAACCATGAAAAGTTACAAACGTTTAGAACTACTGTGAGACTACAGAAACTTGCAAACAGGTAGCATCCATAACCACGATAATGTTAATTACTTCTGGACATTGCGTTTACCTCTCCACCCTTAAAACGGCTTGCAGCTGGTTCTCGAAATACAGGCCACGATTGGCGCATCTGCGTGAGGACGGTTTTTAGTCGGCCGGCTCAAATCTTTAACTCCCTTATTTGTTAGCGACTTTATATTATCACCTTGTCAATACAAAGATAACTCTGAACAGGATTCAATTCACTATAACTGGATTGGAAAAGCGCATAGAGCGGTTTTCTAGCGATTTTCAATTGAGCGTCGTAAAACCAAAACCAAACAAGTTACTTACCAATTTGATAACTCAGCCAATCTCAATCTTAGAAAAACCAAAACCAAAACCAAAACCAAAACCAAAACCAAAACCAAAGTAATTTCCTGATTACTTTCGACAATCAATTGAAAACCGCTCTCAATGAAGTATCGTAAACCTACAACCAAAGTAATCACTCTGGTCAATCGTAAAGGACACAGACAATCCAATGAACCAATCAAAACTCGAAGTAATTACATGTAGCTGATGTAAAGTCTGAGAAAACGTTCGTGAGCTAGTCACGATTGGTTTTGGTTTGACTTCAGATTGGATGAAAAAGTGGCGCGAGTTCATTAAGCCAATCGTGTAACGTTTTAATGCAAAACAAAGTACTATTCGACACTCAGGTGAAAACCGCTCTATACTGACAAAAGAAATGTACAGTTATTTGCAATCGCTAGTTAATCTACTCACCAGGTTTTCTGTTAGAAATGTCAACCACTTTTGGAAAGGCACTCATCTTTTGCAGGTTCTGGTAACGGAGAACAAACAAGTGACATTAAAGTTAATACTTTGAAATAGAACTTATACTGTTTTCAGTTCACTTCTGGGAGTTTGTAGCTCTTGTTATTATTAAGGTTCTTAGTTCGTGTCATTCATTACTAAGAAAGTTGAAAATAAAAAAAATACCAACATGTCATCACAAACGACAGTGACATTTCCGACAGCTCTCACCTCAAGCAATTTGTTGGTTTCTCTTGTGACCGAGTTGAGGCTTGGTACCGAGTCTTTCATCTTCTCGCTAGCTGATTGGTCGATTTGCTGCCCCTCGGACGTTTCAGAGCGTGGCTGAATCCTGGGTGGTACGTATATTTTTGGTAAATCATCCAGCTGTTCCTATGATCACAAGAAATAGAATACGAGTGAGACCAAAGGAAAAGCAACGTTAAAGCTAAACCAAGCCTTTGAATCGGGGCGAAGTGACTACCTCCGGTCCCTAACAATTTGCCAGTACCCATTAAAGAAAGGTAATGCTGTGAGTGTTGCCAGTTATCTTGCTCAAGGGACAAAGAACGAGACACGCCAATGACAAGGGAGATGATCGCGACGACGCAAAAAAGTTTAGTCCTTCGCTGTTTAGATAAAGCGTATTTTACGTAACTTCTCTCAAAATTTTGCACACGTAGAATGTCACGAAGAATTATTATCGCATTGTGCCGTTTGACGGATGGCGAGCCAGAAAATTTTTTTTTCATTTGACATCGTACCTTCAACTGCTGACTCTTAAGGCGTATATTTTCGTTCCTCAGATGTTTCAAAGCGATCTTCAGTGAATCCACCTGCAAAACAGTCATCAAACAAATAGCGCTGAAAAAATACAGCAAGCTCAATTACGATGAGTTTTGTTGTCAACCTGATTGGCCTTACCTCTGTTTTGTATGAGAAATGTTTACCTGTCTGAGTTTATTACTAGCGCTGCAAACGAAAATCCAAAACAAAACACAAAATTATAGCTAGAAACGCAAGAAGTAGCTCTGTTCTCGGTCCAAACCGTACTTAAGTCCACAAAGAACTCAATTTGCAGTTTCACTTGTTCCATCATCAACGTTGATTTGCCTTTCATTTCTTCTCACTGACCCATACCTAGCTGAGCTCTTCTTTTTAACGCTTCTTATCTTCATAACAACGAAGTTACGAGTGATTGCGGCAATAAGGGGGGCTGGTTCCGCCGACGCAAGAGCCACATGTGAATAACAGGAGATGTATCCTGCGAACGCAGACGTATTTCGGCTGTCGCTTGTCTCCGCCGAAAAATAACGTCTGCGAACCCGAGCCAGGAAACGATTTCCGTGACGTAGGAATTCTAAGCCAATCAGAGTTTAGCTCAAATAGCCCCAGAACTACTGCGCGAGGTATTCGCTGCGAGGAGCACTCGAGTTTAATTCTATCATGGAATCTGATTGGCCAAAGAGAAAACAAAAGTCATTACGTCACAGAAATCGTTTCCWGGCTCGGGTTCGCAGAAGTTATTTTCGGCGGAGACAAGCGAAAGCCGGAAATACGTCTGCGTTCGCAGGCTACAGGAGATGCGATAMTAAGTGAATTAAATTACCTGAGCGAGTATTATTGGTGAGTCCTTGATCACCACTTGTACAGGCTGTTGACCCGTCCCTGGGCCACCTCGCAAGGGAGAACTTCCACCGCTCTTAACAGCAGCTGCGCCTGATAGGGAAAGAGAGGAGCACAACAGTTACGCATAGCAAGGAAAAGGGAGCTGGCAATTTCTTAAGGATAAGTCAACTATATAGTTCTGAAAAAACTATACCGCGAACAACAACCCAGCATTTCAAAAGTACACAGTGGTCCAGTTCAGAAAATCTCATAAAACAATTTTACTACCCTGTGGTAAATTAAAAAACCTTCCAAAGTAGTTGCACAAAGAGGATCCAGTTAGTGAGACAAGTCATTTGAAAAAATTCCTAGTTCTCAAAACAGGAGTCGGAGGCATGACCTTCCGCGCAAAGGTCAGCAGCTCTCTCAACTGAGTAAATCTGAATGAATCTCTGTACCTGCTACAACAGCCGCGATACTGGACGACGAAGAAGCATGGCGGGCGAGGTCAGCCAAGAGGGACTTCTTTGAATACGCGTCTAAACGTTTTTTCATGTCAACTTTCTCTCGCTCCAGGTTGTCGATGTCGTTTTGAAGTGCATCCATGGTTTCTTCAAATTCTCTGAAAAAAGAGAGCGAGCCCCCGAGATGTATTACAATTGAAAGATTTACTGACAAAAAGATATTAGCTAGGTGTGCAATAACATCGCTTGATGCCCAATTCACTCACCATGTTCGAGTAACCAACACCCCACTCCCTTTCATATGAAGATTGATCTTGAACTCGGACATTATTTTCTCTTAAGGCGGGAGTTCACAAATGGCCGTATTTTTGCTGGGTATTATGGTTTGAATGCAAATATCTCGTTCACGTTTCCAGCAGTGAAAAATCTCTCTGCTTATTTCACGTAGCTACGTTTTGGGCTGCTTTGTAAATTTTTTGGTGATTTTTGGGTATATAGGGGATAAATCGTTTCTCTCAAAGGATTAGTAAAATTTACGGAAATATGAAATTTTGAAGATTTGATGGTGTTTTAAAATTAGAATTTGAAGTTAGAAATTGGTAGCTGTACACCAAACAGTTGCCCACCAACTCGGGGAGCACTTTTGGGGGCAATCAACTGTCTGGTGGTGTTCCAAACCCCTTTTTTCCTTTTAATCCCTCTTTAAACTTCCTAAAATTTCACTTAAATTCATGTGTACCCCCGCCTTAATCCCTGCCATTCTTCCTATCCTCACAGAACTCGCATTAACCCAACTGTACGGCAATCACAGTGTGGAGAATATATATTCTAGGTTGGCTCCGATAAGGTTCAAAAGACACGAAGCTATATTACAGTCCACACTTACTTTTCCTTTCTTTGTAGGTCCTCAGTAGCTTGTTCCATTTTACGATTTGCTGATTCCACTCGTGCGTCAGCCTGTAGAGATAATATATACTGCCTGTCAGCTCATGTTCGTCTTCATACATCTTTCTTTTTCAGCCCATACACACTGTACAAAGTTAAGTGATTGTTACTGCATTTCTCTGAAATTTTTTTTAGTCGCTCGTTGCTTTGAGGTGGCGTTTTTCGAGTTCTCTAACTGGTTGGGAAAAATTGACCTAACTTCCTCTAGTCAGAAAATCAACTACCATTATAGATCTGCAATGCGTGCAAATGGCCACGGCTACATAGCCAATGTTTACAATGCTAGGTAATATAATATTTACGGACGTCTGGTTAAAAAAAGCCAATAACAGAAGAACGGCCAATTACTGGAACAAAATCAAAACCGATCGCCCGATCAGTTGCTTGTGAAAGCATTTAACAAGAAATATTAAAAATGATGTTAATCAACATTCAGATTTCGATGTATCCAACATCATTATGAAGACTGAAAGTTCGTTAAACGTGTCAAAATCAAAACAGGTTGTAATTTTACTGTGCCCTACGGACCTCTCAGTTGCCTCAGTTACCTATAAAAGAACTTTACAAACACTTAAATAATTGTTTCCCTCATAAAAGCTGAGTCGTAGGTTATCACTAGAATCACAGAGTAATTATAAAGCAGGTTTTCATTCTAACCTCTTTGTTGATATTCTCAAGACGCTTCTCCAGCAGTCCAATTCTAATATTCGCCTGACTCAGTTCTTCATTCTGACAGCAGAAAGGAAAAAAGGGCAATACTTAGACAAGCACTCGCATCACGTCATCCACCTCAGTTGCGAGCTTGACACGTCGATTTGATAAACTTTATCATAATAGATTAAAATTAAAAGCTTGTAGCTTGTGGATGCGTGTACTATAACAAATCATAAGCCTTGTCAGCACTGATTGCTATGTATTTCTTAGTCTGAGAATTAGTCGATACATCAAGACGATATCCCAAACTGCCCAGTTGACATTTTTTTTTATTCTCTCAATTGTTTGCTTGAAGACTACTTGTGTCCTCTCAAGTAAAGAGGCCCATCACCGGCGGAAACTACAAGATCACGTCATTTTGCAAAAACAACAAACAAACAAATCTTCAGGCCTGGGTTGTTCGAAAGGTGGATGACGCTATCCACCGGATAAATCACTATCCAGTGGATAGCGTAGTTTGCTTTGTTGACACTTATCGAGTGAATAGCGATTTATCCATTGGATTTATTACAACTGGGGCCCGAGCACTAAGGACACTTTCCCAATTACTCCTTTCACTGTCATACCTTAAGCTTCATATTTTTCTTGAGATCCATGAACTCGTTTTCTTTCTGAAGAAGTTTCTCCTCCACACCGGCTGAGTCAAACAGTTCTGACTTGAAGGCCTTTGCTCGCTGAAGATAAGGCGGGTCCATCTAAATCACAGACATGTCATCTGGTTAGTTACAACAGGTTTAGCATGCTCGCACGCTACAATGGGCAACGCAATCAAGAGTTAGTTTCAACCAAAGGCTTGTTTGTTATCCATTGTGTGTGTGGTCACAGGACGGCAAGACCTAACTACCGGCTGCGAGGAAGACTAGTTACTTCCGGTTATCAATAGTCTAATGTGGTGTGACATGACTGCAAGAGATTCATGTTACACAACGGCGATTAACAGTCGTATTGTGTACGTATCATACCTTAGATTCCTCCTTAGGTTCAGCGTCATAATCACCTTCTTGCATTTTGGTCACAAACGAGTACAGGAAAGAGATGACTTCATGGAAAGTTTGACTGGAGGAAGAAGAAAGGAAAATTGATATCTGTCACAATGAACTTCTTCATAGAGTAGAGTGCTTGAGTTCACACCAAACTTCATATTGCAATGTTATTGTTAACCGCTTTGTATCAATTTTACTTGGTTCACCTTGTAAGCGTCAGTTCACTCTTCTCTTAACAACGATAAAAGCTTTTGAAGTCGCTAACATTTTACTAAGAACTTAAAGTCGTTAATTAATAACAGCAGAATTCAACTGACCTAACAATATCCCTACATGGAACTTCATCTGTCTCAAACACCAACACTGCAACATCACTGGCCATCTCATCAAGCTGACCACTGAGCAGGTTTTCATTGTCTGTAGAAGCCAGTCACTGATCAACATCTAATTTACCCGAGATACTAAGCTACTAAACCGTACCATAGGAAGAAAGGTTGGGTGCAGTTAGCTAATACTCCCCTCTGATCAGTGCGGCTTGGGTTTGATTTCCGGTTGTCTTGGTATGTGAGTTGGGTTTGTTGTTTGGTTGTCCAGTTTTCTTCCCTCCACAACTACTCTAACTCGATTGTAACCTATGGGGCCTATATGAATAGCACATGTGGCTGATGGCGTTCCTCTCTAATGCTGCAGTTGTAGGTGCATTATGTAAGTTAAACATACAGCTCCTGTACACCCGCTTTTGGAGCTGAGCGTGCATTATTTTTTCTCTAGTTGCACGGCTGGAAATTATAGAGCACGGATATATGTCTCAGATGTCGTGTTGCAGAGCAACCACCGCCCCTTGTCAGATGTAAATATTTTGCTTTTTCATACTTATATTTGAAGCAAAATAAAGTAGTTCCTATGTTTTCCAAGAAACTAATGCACTTTTCCAGAAAAACTGCTGAACGCACTCACGTTTCACTTGTGTATCCACTAGCAGTATAAGATTGCCCACATGTGGAACCAGTTACCAGCTATCACCAAATCCTCGACCACTTTGGCACAATTTCGTTCTCGTTTGAATGGTGTGGAGTTTGCAGGGTGCCAGTGTATGAACTGTATTTTCTAACTCAAATTTTTAATATTAGGACAAGTTGCTTGTAGGAATATTTATTGTTTTAATTCCGGATTTATCTTAGCGAATATAGTAGTTGTAAGTAGCAATGTTGTTGTAGATAGTCGTGCGAATTTGTCATGAGCCCCTGGCTCGGGAGATCGGGCAACCACTCCCTACGTTTACGACTTAAAAAAAAGTTATCTTACCTTACCTTAGCAGTTGTTTTAGACCTCAAGCGTGCATTATTTTCTTAGAGAACATGGAACACGATGCTCTATTTGGTAACTCAAACGTGACCGATTGCATACTTTATTTTTATTTTACAATATTGCAATATTGATCTCTAGCCAGGCTTGTTCAAAACCCGACTAAGCTAACCCAGGATTAGCCAAATTAGGATTTCAGTTTTAAATTTTTCGGTGAGGTTTTCTGTTTATATTGTTTGTCCTCCGGTTTTGGGCTAGAGTAACCTCAAACTACACAAAACATAAACTGTGAAAAACATTTTTGTAAAAGAAAAATTAATATTTTGATTAACTTTTGTATATCTGAAGTATATCCGATGAAATAGATGTCTAGCAAGTCAGCAGAACTTTCTTACCAGCTAAACTAGAAGCCTTCTGTGCCACGGCCGCAGCTAGCTCCTGGCAAAACCTCAGTTCCAGGTTTTGTTGCTTGGCGCAATCAATCAGTGACTCTTGGACCTGGAAAATACAAAAACACGCACGTCTCAAACACAATACAACACAATAGCTGCTTGAAATTACTGATAAACAATAACAGGAGAAGACACTTTGGAAAGCGTGCGTACTGACTGGTTGAAAGCCATGCTTTAGTACATATAAACTTTATCTGAAACTAACAGGAGTCAGAGTAATTCCAGAGTAACAAAATAAATCAAGTGTACAGCCAGGTAATCATGCACACCAAAGTACGCATTGATACAAACCTTATCAGGAAACGACAGGGTACTGCTCTGATCCTCTGGCATTCTAATTTTGATCTGTAAGACAAAGTTAAGATTAGATTTAAGAAGTCATAGGCCATGAGCACACTTAAGCTATAGTTCATGAAAACGGGATGCTAGTCTATAGTAAGAAGCCTCCAGCATTTTGTCAGGTTGGCAAAACAATGCCTTAATACCCTCTAGGGGATTCACATGTCAAAGGGGTGGGCGTGCTTGTCTGAAAATTTGAATTAAGCCCCTAAGGGAAACCATTGTTAGCGTGGTTCAGTGGGAGTGCTCCAGGGGAGTACCCATTCATACTCGTTGGTGAAGAGAAGAACTGTGAGTACAAAGTTAATGCGTTTCAATTTGATACCAGCTTGTAATAAATTATTTTACAAGTTTTTGAAATTTTCAACCTACCTTTCTACATAACTGCTGGATTTCAACATTTCTCAGTTCCATATCTTGGACAAGTTCGCCAAAAGCACTTCCTTCATCACAATTCTAAAAGAATAACTCATAAAGTAACTAAGATCTTGGCAATATCCTACTCAACATCTTAGACAACATCCTAGTCAAATTTGGAAACAGTTCAATTCATAAAATTTGCAATTCTTTTTCGTCCAATTATATTCAAATTGGACAGCATGTAGTCCTATTATACACACAAATTAATTACTACACGTCTCGTTCTTCTTTGAAAGTTTGGTAATTTGGATTTATCCTAAGAAACACACCTTAGTAAACTGTTTCAGTCTCTCGATCTCTATGGTTGCACCTTCTGTGCCAGCTGTAAAGATCCTCAGTTCATCTGCTAAGAACTCAGAATGTGACACAGGGTTACCAGCCAGGTGGAAGCGAACCATAGTCTGAAAAACAAATCGGTTGACACACATCGAGGGGTGGGCACAAGAGAGCTGTAAAGGATTGAAGACCAGTGCAAGGAAAAGTAACATTCTGGTAGCTCTGGTATAGATAGTTTCATTATAAAATATGAGATACTATGCGCGCTCTCATTGGTTAATAGGTGTGTTGAGATGAGATTATGTAAACACGGTTGTGACGTTTTAGATTCGCGTGTTTTTTGAGAAATATTTCATAAAAGCAGTAGAGTACTTTCTCCGTGTTAGCCTCATCTAAACACTTGGGGGGTTGGGAGAATCCTTAAAAGTTATGCAAAACCTTAAATACATCTCAGGTTTGCATAACTGTCTCGAATTTCCCAAACCCTCCTTGAGTTTGGATGGGGCTATGCAAACACAGAAAAAGTGCTCCATAGGTTAATTAGTGTGAATTAAAACAATGCGGTGCACGTCACAAGTAGTATGAAGATTGTACAAAAATTGTTTTAAAAAATTGATTTGATAATGATGCACCACATTGCAAAGGCAATTAACCTAAACTGGATTGATTGCCCTCAGGGATAAAGTATAAGTCACTGCAACCTGTTTAGATCCTAAACATTGTTGACCATCCATACTTTGTGGCAGCTTTCTGGCAGTTTTCTAATATTTTCCCATTGTGTCAAACCATTATATTGAGGCCATCTATTTCTTTCTCCATGTAAGAGCAGCTCAAAAGTCACATACGATTAATAATGGTAAGAGGACTGAGTGGAGTCCAATTCTGTAATCATACGAGTAATTAACAAAATCGGACGACCGCGAAGCGGGAGTCTGATTTGTTAATCACGAGTATGATTACAGACTGAATTGGACGACACGATGTCCTGTTACCAATTANNATGAATGCTGAAAAACACAGCAGTTTACTCAACAAAGTGCACCGCAACAGCGCGCGCAAAATGACGCGTACTGTCCAGTTACAAGCATGACGCGTACACACTGTCCAATTAATGTTCAAATCGGGCTGCTGATAGCCAATCACGTTCGAGAATTTTGTTATAGTTTTGATTAGTGCTCAAATCGGGCTGCTGATAGCCAATCACGTTCGAGAATTTTGTTATAGTTTTGATTGAGCATTGAATTTGGATACTTACGGTGTAATAATGAATTGCCTTCTCCAAAGGTTCCATGGCAACTGTATCATCCAACTATCATAACAAACAAGAACAATTTCACTGAAACTACTGCAATGATATACTTACTATCCTGTATTTAAAACAACTGATAAAAAGAGGTGATACTAAGCTTGTAACATCAGTCCTGAACAGTCAAACACCATCACTATAGAGCAATTGGTAAAAGTTGGTTTACTGTCGGCCGACAGTTGGTAACACGTTGGTATTATGTGTCTACTGACAGTCAGTTGACAGCTTACCAACAGCTTAAAGTTGGAGCCACGTTTAACAGTTACGGAGCAATCTTTGCTGATGTGACAGTACATGTACTTTTTACATCTCCCATTTAGAAATTAACCCAATTAAAACAGGAAGAGTGAGCAGAATTTCGTTATGGTATCAAGTTTGAAAATAACCAGTTTAAATGCTTCTTCAGATGATGTATTCACTGCTGCTTTTACAGCTGTGCAATTAAGTGTGTGACAAATCTTCCCATACAGTAATTTAATATCTGTAAGGCCTAGTTCAGACCAGCAACGCAACGCCATAACAACATAAGGAGGATGTTGTTACGTTTGTAGTGTGAACATCCTGACATAATAACATGTAATGGCAACATAACAGCATGACTGAACATGTTTTTATGCCGATGTTCACTTAACCAATATAAGCAATTATGTTGTTTTGTCATAATGTCATTATGTCACTGGTGTGAACTCGACCTAAAAAGATATTGCATTTTTTTCATACAGTCATGTATTTACAGGTTTGGCAGAATTCATTTAAAAACAAATTATGCCAAATTTATTTGGAGATTAAAATATACAGCCACAAATAAAGTCTGTAATTAATATTTGGCTGGTGACAAATTTCTTTCGCCAGAAAGAGGAAGGAGGGAATGCAGTCATTGATTTTAGGTTTGTCATTTACCTGGTCTTTCTTGAACAAGTCAATCAGTACATCCACAGCTCTTTCATGAGCTGCTAGTTCTGGGTATATTCCAACCAGTTTATTGAAGAGACCAGGATCACAGCTATCAAGAGCCCTGCAAATAAACAAATTAACATGACATACAAATCAATAACTCGGGCTTCACTGCATTCAGTATGATCCAGCTTCCAACTTGGAGCTGTTAAAAGTAGATTAAGTGCCATAGCAAATTTACAAAGCGCAAAACACCCCCGTGATTTTTTTTACCTTTCAATATTTCTAACAACTGCCTGTAGAGTAGCAAGTTGATAAATGAGTCCTGCAGCAAAACTAAGTCCTTCCCCAGCTTCACCATGAATCTTAACAGTCTCTTCAAGGCATTCTGCTATCTCATACTGTGTGAAAAATGAGGACATTCAATGAATGACTGAGTTGTCAACAGAAATCCTGTAAAAAAACTTGGGGAAAGTGACGAAAGTAGTGTCTGGAGATGGGTTAAACAAGCCTATTTTCACATTCAAACAGGACCAAGTAAATAGGTACCAACAGTAAGATCAACAGATGTCTATTTTTTTGGGTCAGTTGTTGGCCTACTTAACACTGTTGGCTGACTGTCAGTAATGTGTCTGTAACATGTCCGCTGACAGTTGGCTAACAGGTTACTGACAGCCGAAAATGGTAGCCATTGTTCACTAGTACCAAAAACTTTATCCATAATAGACACAGAAATTTAAGTATTCATGATGGCAAATCACTTGAAGTCATACAGAGTACATACATAACATAACATAACATAACATAAAGTTAACCTTATTGATCCATGGTCACTTTTATTACCACAAGGATAGGTTTTTTTTACCTTTTGTTTGAGTTGTGATTGAAGCAAGTCAGTCTTAAAACTCAGCCGTGGAATAAGTAAAAGCAGCAAGACACTTTCATTGTCACCTGAATAACAACAACATAGCTTTCATCAAATTTCAAAATGCACATTAGCATTTTCAGATAAATAAATAATGAAGAAATCAGAGTGTCTTTTCTATTTATGTCTTTGTTGGCTATAAGTACTTTGACATCAAGACCATATTATTTATAAAGTTGGGCATTGAAATTTGGTGCTATAAAAATGTGTTTTATTATATAAACACAAATGAAATATCAGGTGAGCTTTTGTGCAAAAACATGATAACTTCACATGTGAAAAGATTGCTGTTACCACGGTAACATAATCAATTGCACCTTTTGCAATGAACATTAAATGGTTTATTATTTCATTGGTGTTGGTATAATAAATAGAACATTACATGGCTGTTTGGAGATACAAAATTTCTGTTCCCATGTTGAAAAATATTTCACTTGTTTGCTGTGCTCGCTTGTGAAATATTCTTCAACATGAGATGAGAAATTTCATATCTCTGTGTGGCTGTGTAATATCCCCTAATTATTATGGTTATTATCGTTGTGACACAAACTGAATGCATTCTATAAACCAAACATTTATTTTTAACACAGAATACTTGTGCATTTTTCCTCACCTCCTCTCCTTAAGAATGACTCAGGCATAAATGAGTGAAGCATTTTAACCTGTTCATTTGCCTGCTGAATTTCAAACTTTCTTAACTCATTCTCTATTGTCTGTAAAAAAAAGTGAATAAGAATTTAAATCTAATATGGAGAGAGTTTCAAATTTATGGCAAGACCAACACCAGTAAAACACAGATATCCAAACAACGATCCTCAAAGTGTTAAGTACTGGGAAACCTATTCTTACATCCTAATTTTGAGAAAAATTTGGGTCTTATGTTGTGCCTCAGTACAAAGCAGCATTCATGTATATATGTTTTGTAGTTGTTTTAAGAAAAACATCATGGCAAGACTGAAACAGGCAGAGGTGTATTCTTGTCCCAACCCAAATAAACAGATAATATCATGTCGTAATTATAAAAAACTAATAAATAGGAAAAGAAATGACCAGTTTAAACAATTTACTAGTACGAAAAAAGAAGCAAAAAAACCTAGCATGAGATCAAAATACAACAGTAAGGTTGTACCTATGTCATTACCATAAAGTGTAGTAATGTTTTTGACAGTTAATTACCTTTGTAAAAGTTTTCAATTCAGCAGCCTTGACCTTGAAGTCAATCATTTCAGGTGAAGGGATGTCAATGATCTTTTGTTTCTCTGTGTCCTCTTGCTGTACCTGCATAACTCTGTTGTTTTCCTACAGAAAAAAAAACAAACAAATCAACATCTTACTTAGAATGCTACATCTAAATTTTGCATCTCTGGCATGTTACATGATTATGATCAAGCAGTTTGATAGAATGAATATCGTATTCTATCAGTAACATTTTGCACTACTTTAATATCTGTATTTCACAAAAAGTCAGTTTGTTTCAAATAGACTGGTAAACTGTTAAGTGTGAACCTGACAAAGATAATACAAGCTGGGAAGGGGTGGAGGGTAACCCTGTGATGAACTAGCATTTCAGCCAGGGGAATAGAAATACTCCCTACCACTTCATGAATTTATCAGTTACTGGCAACACGTGACATGCTAGATTGAAACTGCCTTAAGATTTAACTTTGCACCCATAATTTAAATGGCCCTCACCTGCAATTTTGCCACCAAGTCCCTGAATTTAACAATTGTTTGCTGGTGATCTCCTATACTTTCCTGTGCTGCCTCCAGTTTACGTTCCATCTGAAAAAGAATAAAAAAAATACAATGCACAAACCAGACCTACAGTCAAGACTGTAAGCCCAAAGAGGAATGATGTTAACTCTACGTAAATTGTGACTCATTCTATTGTAGGCAAATTCAAACTGAAACCCACTGACTGGGGTGAAATCCTTGCAAATTTCACCCGTTTGATTTTTGTAACCCGATAGCTGTAGCAAATTTTGATTACAATGTCAACAATTTTGTTCAAAAATATGTACCTTATTTCTTCCAACATCTGATACATGTACAAAACTACATTGCAATCCAAATTTTTCCAAAGGTCGAGTTTTGTGTTTAACACAAAAGCAACCCATTGTTCACTCAAAAAGCATAAAAGAAAAAAAAAAAAGATAGTAAGAATAATATAGTTTCCATAAGACTTATTAAGTCTTCCAAACAAATTTTTTAGCTAATTAACCACATAGCTTTTGACCACACCAAGTGGTTAAAATTCAAATTGATGATTGTGGTTTGTCTGCAGAGAGCTGACCACGAACAAACAGGATTACCTCACGAAGTTTATTGTTATTCATCTCCAGTTCTTCCCTCAAGTCATGTTCTGTTTGAATATGATTTTCTTCTAGTTCCTCATTCAGATCTCTAAGAGCTTCCTATTGGAGTGGATGGAATTAAATTGTTTTTCATGACATTAATCATGTTTGCAGATGTTTCCTGCCACTTGTGGCATGTGCAACAAAATTTTAAAACACGTTCAATGAAATATAATAGTGTGAGTACCTCCTTTCATCCACTTATTAAACTATTCTCATATTCAAAGGATTCAAGTGTAGGATTTGATCAATGTAAGAAATTCCATTCTTATGACAGCTTTACAGAGATCCCTGTCAATGACTTTGATTGGTTGTAATGAACTTCAATTTGGAATAACTTTTGTGCACAAGTGATATTTCAGGAAAAACTGGAATTGCATGCAACACTCTCTCCTAGAGTTAGTAAATAAAATTAATATGGATATGCCATCAGCACAGAATTCTTTCTGTTGAAGATAACCTTGACTTCTCTCAAGTGGAGGAGAAATTGCGCACAAGCCTGTGAAGAGTGGCATCTACTTACTTGTTACAAACATTGGTACTATGTAGGTAGTTTATGACATCAGTGGCAAAACTCACCAAGTCAGCAACATTTTCCCTAAGAGTCCTGATTTCCTCTTCTAATGTTAAATTGTTATCAGTGAGAGTTTCCACCATCTCCTCAGCTCCCAATGCAGTGTCAACCTAGCATTAGTCACAACTAATATGAGAAAGACATTCCTCTGTCTGTGATCAGAGCTGTATCTAATAACAGAATAACCGAGACACTTGCCTCAGTCATTTTTTTGTTTTTGTTTTTGTTTTTGTTGTTTATAGTTGTCATAAACACCCTAAATACCTAGGAAGAGGATTAAATTTTAACCATGTACACTGCCTCAGTCATAATTTTTTACGGCTATAGCCATGGTGATACAGAGTGACATAGCAAACAGCAAATTTTGGTTTTTCTGGCACAACATGTGAATGAGAAAAGAAAATCGCAATGTGAATGTACACACCTGTTCTTTGAGTTCAGCCAAAGAACTTTCAGCTTCCTGAAAAGGAATTACTTGAAATATTAGTAAACCTCTAAGTAATGAACTCTATAATTTAGACCTGTACTGGTTGAGTTTTAAAATCTTTTTGAGCACATTTTAACTAGTAATAACCTGTAGAGCTTCAGAGAGCCTGTCTCTTTCATTTTGTAGCGATGTGTTTCCACTCTGCAGGTCTTTGACCTGTTTCTGCAATGCCTGCATCTCTGATTTGTCACTTGCTTGGACCTCTTTAAGCCTGAAATTATAAAATAATAGCAGAGTTACCATAATCACTTGTTCATATCAAAATACTATATCAATAAATTTGGCTTACATCACTTTTGACAATGTTGCCCTACTGGATCTTATTTACTAGTCAATGTCAATATTATTTGCAACATGCACCAGGTCCTGTTAAAATGGTTCCGTTTTAGCCCTAGTTTAAATTGTTTGAAACCAGTTTCTAACATTTTTCTTTCAAACTAGTTTGATTTACATCAAAGAAGAATGGGAAGGGGAAGGGGAGTCTGGGACCAATAACTTGTTAGACCAACATATATGGGAAAATTTGTAACAATTGCTTGCATGACCTAGGGGAGATGAAGGTGGACTACAAAAGTCAGAGGTTCAGTTTTTGAATCTAGTTGAGTACAAAATGACAACAAAAGACACCTGTAGTAGTATGGTAAATGTTGGGGGTGGGTGGGGATTTGATATGGCATTCTAGTGGGGGTAAGGTAGAGTAAGGGACTGAGAGTGTGGGTGATTTGAAGGAGAATCTGAAATTAAAAGGAAAAAAATCAAGAACTGCACGTGATTTTATTTAATAACCCCAGAAAGAGAAAAAAATACAAATTAAAACTGGTTTGAAAATTTACAGCAGAGACAAAAATTGAAACACAACATGTTACAGAAGTGACATTTGAGTTGTTTTCGTGACATTTCTCACCTCATTATTGCTTCCTTAAGTCTGCTGTTTTGCTGCTCAAGTTGTTTGACTTGGGCATTTGCTGCAGCACCTTCAATCCCTTTACAGAGATGATGTCAAAAATTTTCATCAGTTAGATTGATAAGAAGCCATTAACCAGGCAAGTTACTACATGCAGTAATCACTGAATCAAGTTGTCAATCACAGTTATTTATTTCCATGACAATCATGACATAATATCATTTCTGTTCATTTTTTGTCATGAATGAACAAGAAGACTACCATCTTTTGTTTGCAAATCTTGATGCAGAAATTCAAGGGAGTTTGGAGAAATCGTAAGAGTACTTGACAAACCCAGTTCCCACTTGTAAACTGAATGTTGCAGAGTTTTACATGTAGTCCTCTAAGCCATGCCTGGCATTACATGCACCAACAATAGCTCCTACAATGTACCGTAAATATTAAAATGTAAATATTAAGAACCTGCACTTTTTCCTAATACATGTGCCTTGTTTAATTTATTGTTGATAAGCTGTCATATTTCACATTTCTTTCATAGTAGGTCAACAGTTGGCCAACAGACTACAGACAGCTTTTATCTGAAAATTGCTGTGTTTGCAGCAGGTATTCTGTACATTAAAGCTGTTGTAATTTATGTTTGATATATAAATATTCCATGGGCATATGTCGCACCTCCTTCACTGACTTCATTCTTAAGAATTTCCAAGTCAAGAGTAACTTCTTCCAGCTTGTCTTTCAGTTGTTCATTTTCCAGCTGAATGGACTCCAGCTACAAATATCAAACATTCAAATACATGCAAGTGACAATATTTTTATAGAACATGTACTTTCACTCCCAAGAACATTGCAGGAAAACTGAAAAAAATTTTCAATTTTTCAGTGAAATATAAAATACAACAGTGCTAAAGACAAAAGGGAATTGGCACACAAATTCAGAGACTGCCATCTAATCTTTACAACATTATTTTTAAGCCACTTGATTTTCTAAGTGACAGCTACTTACTGAGGCTTTTTGTCATCTTTGGTCAAACAGTGAACAAATGATGTAACTGCACCACAAGAGCTGATTCAGACAGTACAGTTGAAATCCCATAATGACTACTGCATATGACATGTTTACACAGAAGGGCCATTTAATTTCAAGGCAATTTACAAACACACACACACAACATGAATGCAACAATAAATTATTACTGTAAACATTGACTTGTACTGTTAGGTTTGAGTAAGACAAAAGGATAGGTATGCTGTTTGGGACAACCGTATAGAGTAACAAACATGCAGTGGGGTAAATTAATTAAAGTGAATACCCTTTCTTCAGCCATTTCCTTATCCAGTGTTGCCATTTCCACAGCTTCTTGTAGCTCGGTCAACTCTTCACTGTGTTCTTGACGATTTTCAGTAATCTCTTTTAGCTCCTATTAAAAGGATTATAAGATTAAAACATTTATTTCATTACATGAATTTTGACTGCATAAATTGTCCTGAATTTGAACATCAATTTGCTAGAAAACCTTAGCCTTCATGTTTGTGTGAGAAATCTTTCAATTGGTACACAAGCATAAAGCTATGATTATTTGGTTAATAACTTATTTTTTATTCTAACTGGCAGCCATTTATGCAGTTGGTCTATATGTGCTTCAATTATTTGTTATTATTACCAGTCCTGGAACCATCAAGCTGCAAAACAAAAATTAACTAAAAGATAATTTCACGGTAATACCACTGGTATGTTATTTATTAGTGGAGATTGTTCTGGGTTATTGTAATTCCAGAGCTCATAGTTACATGTACATGTAACACTAGTGTCACTAGTTAGAAATTATATTTCACCTGTGCAGCTTACAGCCTCAATGACCAAATAAGAAGTTACTCTTCACAAGTAGTACAAGCTAAATTTTAGAAATATTTCCAATTAGTTCTTTTAAAGTGGTCCCAATAGAAAATGTGACATGGCTCTGTGGTTCTAAAAGAGAACCTGAATTTTTAATCAAAATTGTGGCTAAAAAGCACTTGAATTGCACATATAGTACCTAAAATGCCACTAACAGTTAACACAGAAATTATCCATGTTGTGAGACCTACAAAAAAAATTCAAATACTAAAATAATTCAAAAAGACTAACCTTTTTTGTTGCATTAAGCTGAGCTTGTAAATCTCTCTGTGCCTCTTGCCATCTAGCCTTATATTCTTGCATCTACACCGACAAAACATGACCACAACATAACACATTCAAATCAGTTGTTATAGCACCCAGTGGCAGCAAAGTGCAACTAATAAAATGATATTCATGAGGGCTGCATTAATTAGTGAAGTAAAGTTAATCTTAGGCATTCAAAAGGTTTCAAAAAGGGAACTCAGTAAGATAGCCAGAATATTTCCTGCTTAAGACTTGGTGAAACTGGAGTTTTTGTTGACTAAAACTGCAATGTGTCATTGTCACAGATATTAAAATGACTTGACCTATAGTTTGTTGGCAGAAGAACAGCTGGCACTGACATTAAATCCAATAACACATCACCACTTGTTAACTTAAATGACACATAAGCTTGTTAAGCAGATGCTTTTTCTGGACCAGAAACTCGCTTGTTGCTAGATTTAAATGAAAATGTCTCAAAGACCACAAGAAAGTTATTGATATAAAAAAGAAAGCAATGATATCTTAAGCCAAATGATTGGGTAAACATAACAGTTACTAGGTAACTCTTTGGATAAAGACAAATTTGATGCATGCATAATTTATCAACTAAGATACAAATAAAACAAACAAATGGATCCACGCTGGATTGACAGCGGCAAATTGAATCAATTCTTGAACACTTTACACCAATTTGTTGTGGGTTAAATTTGTTTTTGGTCAAAAATGGTTAAAACCAGTTCGATTCTATTTTCCTTTGTCTCAGGTTATGATAAGAAATGTTGCACAAAGGAACACATGTTGAATTTCTTACTGAGATATCTAATCCAGAGGTTTCAAGAATTGAGGCATCCTGAGTCAAACTTGTCAGTGTGTCTTTTCCAGACTATAAATTTACTACTGCTGATGATGATGCCTAGTTACAGGGGCCCACATATTACACATACTAGACAACTGCAATAAATTGTACATGTTGTAGTTCAAATTTATTTTGTCTCATATTCATTAATCATAATCTTGACCAAAGGAAAATGAAAATCACACTGGTTTAATTATTTGGAGCTGAAAACAAATTAACACCAAAATATAAACATGAAGTCAGCATGTAAAGAGTAATTGGGGGGAGGGGTGGATGAACATAGAATTTAACAAACCTGCTCTAGCTGCATCCTTGATTTCTCCAATTCCTTCATTTTAGCTTTGTCTTCTTGTCGTTTGCTCTTCAGGGTCTCTAGTTTCTCCTCTAAATCCACAACAGCTTTTTCCTTTTCAATCACCTATAAACAAGAAACATATGCAGACAAAACCACTTAATATGTGAGTTACTATTACATGTACACGTGAGATCTTATTGAAATTCCATTCCCACAGATGATACAGAAAAGTTATTATCACTTAAACTTGATTGTGTTGTGCTCCAGTTTCTGTAATGAGATGAGCCTCAGAGTATTGCCATTCCCCCTGAATAAGATTCTTATCCATCACGGATTACCCTTGAGTATTTTGTCAGTATGCCCTCACAGTTTTTCCAACATCTACATGTATACTCCTGGATCATGGTCCAATAGAGAAGCAATGTGAGAGTAAAGCACCTTGCGTAAACCCAGCCCAAACATCTTACAAGTCATGTTAGTTACGATAAGATTTTTTAAATTTTATTTTTCACAGTGACAAAAGAAAATGAGAGAGAATGCCTGATACATTTATCTGATCATGATGAGTCATCTACAAACTCCAAATTTAAGTCTGTCAACACTAGCATGGGTTTCACCAAGGGCAAGGCACCGGGCAGGTTGACAGGCTATGAGGATAATTCTGCCTGGCTGCTTTGACCATCTGGAGGATTGAAACCCCTGCCCAAATATCAACAATGTGTGAAAAAGTCCTCTTGCAAACCCCTTTTCAAAGAAGGGTTGATGCCATAAGATGAGTGCCAATTATTGCATGCCTTCAACGATGGCATTCATGTATCTGGCAGAAAGGAAAATGGACCCGCTTGAAATAAATGCAATAGTACAAGGGATTGGGTTGACAAGGCTATGCACCTCCTATGGTTCAAGATATTTGTACACTTGCTGGCTGTTCTCTTCAATATTATTTGCTTCCTTTGGCTTTCATTTTGCCCTATATGCTGTATTATTTGGAAGAGTAGAATAAAGCCATTTGGTTTCTTCACTGTGTGTTTTAGCTGTGCATTTACCAAGTTATGGATGCACTTGGGAAGTTTGGAGAGCACAAAAAGTCAAGAGTTACTCTCAGCTGTACCTCAAGCAACTCTTACACCTCTCTTGTGCTCTCCAAACATCATGCACGCATCTATAACTCTATTATACTCTAATTAAAGATAGAGACCGTACGGACAGTTACTCGAGTTTCACGCACGAAGCGATCATCAGACTGTGCCATTAGAGGTGGGTGGAATACAATTTAAACTAAGCTCATGGAGGACGGTTGGAGCGATCCTGTTTTTGATTGGCCGCGTAGAACTTGTTTTCGTGTCTGCACTTGGTAACAAGTTCAGATCTTTCGTTCAAGAGAGTAAATCTGTCAGCTGATAGTATGCTGAGCTTTTCCGTCAGACACAAATTGCAGCGTGACTGGTTTCCCCTGTAAGAGCTTGCTCACGTGATAATGGACCACTTGATCGAAAAGTCGGTGTTATTGTCTTTCAGGTCCCAGATGTACTTTGATAGTACATTGTCTTGTGAATGCTTGCGATGTTTGAAAGAAAGCTTATGGTTATTGTACCTAGATTTGAAATTATGTTCAGTCATGCCAATGTAAACCTTCGTTTTGTCAGGTGTTGTAGTGACAGTCGCTTTGTAGACCACATTGTTGACAAGGCATCCACCATCAAGAGGGCAAACATCTTTATTTCTGCAGTTGCACGACTTATTGGACTTGACGTGAGTGCCGTCCTTAGCGAGAAATTTTGAGTTGTGGCTCTTGATGATGTTCGCCATTTTGTTAGTGTAGCTGTAGCTGATCTTCACATTATTCCTATTAAATACCTTGTGCAATATGTGTGACCTAGGGAAATGTTTATCAACTAAGTGGAGGAACGATCTTGCAATATTCGTCTGGACATTCTCACTGTATGGCGGGTTGAACCAAATGATGTTTCTTGGTCTGTTCCTGCATCTGTGATCCATCCAGTTATCATCCCTCACATTTTGCAGACTCTCACGATAGCCACTGGTTTTGAGAGCATCACTGTAAACATGCGAAGCCTTGCTGAATTTGTCAGGGTCGCAAGATAAGCCTGAGATTCTGGTACTAATCGTTGCCGGTAGATGCTTGATTATGGAAGGTGGGTGGTTGCACTTTGCATTAGCAAAACTTCCCGGTGGAGAGATCCAATGTCACGTCCAGGTAGTTGACAATTTTCAAATTCAATTGGGCTGTTATTTGAAGGCCTAGTTCTCCAAGTATTTTTGAAAAAACTTTCCTCATCCTGTCAAGAGATCTTGCGCTCATATTCTTAAACACTGCTAGGCCATCATCCCTGTACAGGCCGATGTTTCCACTGGGGTAAGCAGATGTAAGCTTGTGCAGAATGTACAGACCTACCAACTCACACACCTCTGCGCCATCATAACTGCCCATCGCCACATCGAACATAGGCGAATACAAAGCAACTAAACTATTAACTCACCAAACAATATTTACATTAATTTTTATATATTTGTTTCACTTATAACCGATCAAAAAAGCCCACATTCTGGACTTTTCAAAGATGACTCATGAAATAAATGTATCAGGCATTTCTTTTTTATTCTCTTCAACTGCTATGAAAAGAAAAGAATGCTTGATCACATGTGAAAATATCCAGGCCAGAGCTCAAACCTACAGCATTAACAAGGCAGTGCCTCCTATACTTAAAGATCTACATGTAATAATATCAGCTGTTAACTGCCATTTTATTTTTGGGTGGGATTTCCCACACTTTGTCAACACCAGCGATATTTATTTATTTATTTGTCCATGAGAGCAAAGCGTTTGTCACGTGGTTTCTACCTGGCATGTAGACTGGGTTCCACTGGCAAAAGGTGTTTTTGTGCGGCGGCCATTAGTGTGATTACTCTTAGCGGGTGTTGTTTTTTGGCNTACATATTAATGACAAATGGAGAAATGTGATTTGCTCGTAATACCTTAGACATCAAAACACCAATGCAACTTACTACATTAAATGTCAAGGGCGCTGGATGTGATCTTTTTGATGTATTCACGGGAAAAATTTACCTCCGGAAATATTGGTCATACTCACTAAATGCAGTTTCCCGTGGTAAAAGGGTCATTTACCACAGTAAAGAGTTCCGTGTAACCGAACCCTAAGGGAGCGAATTTCCTGGAAACTTAAGTCCAAACATGTTTCTCATGTAACTGTTTTTTCGTCTGCAGCCTGGGATCTTATAACCAGGACTCTACAGTATCTTTACTCGACGTTCATCACTACAAAACAACAAAATGTATAAATATTCACTGCTGCAATTTCTCTGATTTATCCATAGTGCATCAACTCTTATTTGACTGAAATCACACACAAATTCACATTGCAGACCTATTTTTAAATAAAGTATGGACTGTGGCCTAATGATTAATATGTTGGACATAAAGCCATGCGTATTCTTGGGAAAACTATACTCTCACATTACTACTCTTATTAACAACATGCACCCAGGTGTAAATTAAAATGATTTCAGCTACATGTATACTCAAATTAAATTTACTTATACCTCAGGTTTTCAGGCTGTAAATACTGTAATTCAGATTTTACATGTATCAAATTTGGCAAGGTTGTTCTTTCCCTTTAAAAGTGCCAGAGAAGTCCCTCAAACACTGTCATTGCATGTACCATATTTGAAATCTTCATACCTACACCTTTACCACAGCATATTTTGTGAAAAACAATCAAAATTCAACATTCCATATAAATATACCTTCTTTTGAAGTGCCATGTATTCATCAGCAGATATAGATGGTCCTGAAGACATCTTCCTTTGGCCCGATAGCAAGGGAGAGGCAGCTGCAGCAGGAGACTTGCTTGGGGGACTATCTGATGCAAGTTCTGGTAAGGTAGCTGTGCTGGATTTCGGCGTTGTAGACTTGGAGGAAGGAGGGGAAGATCTATTGCCAACATTCTCCAGAGAACCTCTAGACCCAAAAGACTGAAAATTGCGATGTAATATGATAAGTACATGTATTACTAAATATATGCACATCTTTATTACAGTGTATTATTTTACAAGGAAATTGAATAGTTGTGGTCAGCAACATTAGACAAAAGTATACTCTTTTATTTACATATTTTTTATTTTTTTTTATAGTTATGCAAAGTGATATTAAAGTTGTTCGTTATTATTGTAAAATATAATTATTCATATCATTTTAAATTGTACTTTTAGTATTTTTTTTGTTGAGCACTTTTATCGTGAGCTCCCGACTCAAAAGAAATATGGGTAACCACTCCCTGTGTCACAATGTTAATTAAATTATTACTATAATTACTATGTGTTGGTACCAACAATCATGTATCTGTACTTCATACATTTCTCACCTTCCAGGAGAGAAATACAAACTTATCCACTGACTCCAAAACCAGCCCAACCTAGCCTTGGATTTAAGGTTACTTCCACCTTCCGGGCACAAAAAATTGTTGCTTCTTTTATTTCACAAAATTTAAATCAGTCATTTTATCTTCAGTTTACATAAGAAAAACATCAAAAATCTCAAAAAGCGGCAAAGTTATTTAAAAAAAAAAACATATTTTCAAATAAAGGTCATAAACTGGGAAGGTGTCATAATCTCTTAAATGGACAAAACTGCCATGGAAATTTTCGTGGTTCACGATCATCTTGGAGCTCATATTTCATGTTATCTGGTATTGTTTATATCGTGCATTTGTTCTTTTGCCTTTGACTGCTTTGCCCGTGTTAATGTCTTTCTCTTCAATGCAACAGCAAGAAAGAAAATGTGTTGCAAAGCGATGCTTTTCCCTGGAAATCCTGATCCATTGTCATTGACGCTAGGAGGTCCTGTTGTTCCATTGGGTTGCAGTTCCATAGGCGAGATAATCTCCTGGGTTGGCGTGAGTTGTTTACGCACCTTTACAAGCTAAAATCTCGCATTTGATTTTGGGAGGAATAGAATCCACTTTGAGCGAATTTATAGGGTATGAGGATTTGATGGATTTTCGTGAAATTTTACCAGAACATTTCAGGGATAATGACAAATGAAAGTGTATCGGGAAATTTGGATCTTGAACTTATTTTTTCCGTGGCATCCATTTACACAACATGTCTTGCATATTTTTAGCTACTCTGACTTTAGATGCAGACATCTAGACAACCAATCAGAATATTGAAAAAGCCCAACAAAATTTTGTTGATTGATTCCTTGTGGAAAAGACTGTACAGCCATTTTGCCCAAGTGGAAGTGTCAGCAGCCGATAATCCTAAAAGAAAAACTTGCTTAAATTGTACTTTTATCGTAAACTACATAGATATATAGTTTGTTGTGGTTTTATTGAGACTGGCGCATGTACAAATTTTTTCCAAAGGACACAGGTCTGCGAAGGTGGGACGTAACCTTAAGGGAACATGATCCTTATATCACTTGGGGCATCCTTGCTGTACCTCTCTTGACAGGAGATGTGTTTAGCAAGAGACTAATACACCGTGCAGAATACGACAAATTGAGCCAGACACAAATTCAATAAATCTAAAGCTATATAACTACATGTATAAGAAAAACTTGACCCTCCTCTATAAACAACAGTTTCAGTCAAGGCAATAATCATCTTCCTTGATGTATCCATGGAAACAGGAAAGGAAGAGGACCAGGAAAACTACAAAAGTACAGAAGGAATAATATATGAACAGGAACTCGTACCTTTTCTCTTTTTTTTATTGATGCTGGGAGTGGAATGGAGGTGCCTCCACCAAGACTACTGCGTGTTACTGAACCCCTGGATGGTAAAGGTGATGTTGGTGCTTCTTCAAGCACTGTTATTTGAGACTGACGCACAAAGATTCCATGGTTCTCGGCACACTTGAAATATTCTTTACCCTGAACTAAAATGATTTAAATAGCATTATACAACAATAATTGCACCTGTAAAGGTCTGGAGACTAAAAAAATGCTTGGAGGATTGTGCAAATGTTCAGTTCACAGGAATTTTTTTTCACAGCCTGGGAGCAACTATTATACAGAAAACATATTTTTTTCAAAATCTTTCAGATAATTATCATGATATTTTGTGCACCAAGAATTACAGCACTTGCTCTGTATATCATCTTTTCTGCATTGTCTACTATGTAGAAAGTAGCAACCCTCTGAAGGGTCCAAAGCACGTATTAATTGAAGGGGTGAGTGCAAAACCATGCTAAGTGACGATTTGGGTGAAAAAAAAATTTTGCGCGAAAGGGCTTGAATTCTTGCATGTGGTCTTCAATGTAATAGAAAAACGTGGTCCTGTATTTTTGTCGCTAGTTTTTGCTTCGTTTATAAAGACGCCGCTAGGAAAACCGAGTGGTTTTTCTGCATACGCAATATCTCGAANTATGCCTCAAGAAGACCCTGTTAACACTACCCCGGAGAAATTTGAAAACTGCGTTTTCACTCTGAAAACGCACCAAATGTTTTCCGTCCACACTACGCCGGAGAAATTGAAAACGCAACAATCACCGGTCATTTTGGATTTGTGTTTGAGGAAAACTCGGAGAGGAAAATCATATTATCATTGTAGCTTCATTGCTTTCGAAAAGCTTCGTTTCCAAAATTTTCTTCGTCCACACTAAAACAAAAAGCCGGCTTTTTCAAATTCCTCCGGTTTGAAGAGCGTTTTCAAAAAGCTCCGTTGTTGTGACGGATTACAGTGGCAGTTCATAGCCAGCTTGGCACGTTCTCGAAGGGAGTATGGTGCTAGGTAATGAAACTTTATTGGTGCCTGGTGGGGCCATGTCAGATTGGGATCTACAAGCAGGGAAATACTGCGACAAAGTTGAGTGCTATAATCTGAAAGTGATGAGTGAACCGAGAAGGCCGGTGTTCCCGTTAACAAGATCACTATCAAGAAAAGAGGGCAGCCACTGTACTTTTTGAAAGGCTATACTCCTCGAGTTTTAAAGGAGTCTGTCTGTCTGTCATGCACTAATTGAGAACAATCGACGCTGTTGTTGTTGTTGTTGTTGTTCAATTTGAGTATGCCTGGCTCAGTTGACACTCATTTGTATACTGACAGCGTGATTCAATTTGAGCGAGCGACGCATTTTTTTTATATATATATATATATAACTTTAAATATTAGTATTACCTGATGATTTTTAACCGTGTATAAAGAAATGTTAAATCAAATAAATAAATAAATAAATAAATAAATAAATGCTCTTGGTACGATTAGTAACACATGAACTTTGAGACTTAGAGTAAGCTCAAGATTCGGAGCAAAGCGATGAAGAGATACGCTCGAAATATAAGCTTTACTAGCTCGCTACAGTGGTTAATTTACCTTTATCAACTATAAAACCAGCTGTAATTAATTCCCATCGTTTCGTTATTTTGAGGGTGCTATTAGAGGAGAGTTACTTACGGTGCGACTACTCCAATCAAGGCTACCCGACAAAATTTTCTACAAATTTAACAAATAAAAATTTTGGAGGTTAACAATAGTTTTACAACAAATGAACTATGTAATCAAGCTGTTAATTACAAGGGTAACAGATTCGCGGTCATTTTGATTAGTAACTACCGTAAATCCTCGAATTAGCCCCCTCCCCCCGCCCCTTGAATAAGCGCCCGCCCCCTCAAATAAGCCATCCCTCCCCTTCGCCCACTTTGTGGACAAGTAATGAGACAACAAAGGATGTGTAGTTTTCGTCGTGTAGTATTAGATTTGTACACTGTTTCAGTTTGTGAACACGTCCAGTTTGGAAAAAAATTACAAGTACTAAAGGTGCCGCGATTCAAACTACAGGATCAGCTTTTAATGCTCATAAACAGCTTGCGTTGTTGTTTACGCGCAGATGATGTATTAAAAAATGATCATGTCAGGCCACGATTTGGTAAAAATTTAATAAGCGCCCCCTATCTTCTCCTAAATCTGAAAGAAGCGCCCCGAACGCTAATTTGAACTTTTAATTTAACTTTTAAAATGCCAGTGGTCAATTTGCAAAGAATTTGCTTAAGCGGCCTTGATCGGGGTAGTCGCACTGTAACAAGTAACAACGTTTTAACAAGTTTACAGTATTGTTTCAGATTTCAGTTTTTTATTGTTTTGCACTATTTACATTTTGTTCACAATCAATCTATTCAACAATTAGATTATGAGCTCGAGATTTCTATGAGGTGATAGTTGATTGGGTCGAAGGCCGAATCAACTATCACTTCATAGAAATCGAGAGCGAATAATCTAATTGTTTTAGTAGAATTCTTACTAAAATTTACTTCAAATAACGGTTTCCAATTATTTCTTGACGTATTATTGAACCTTGCACCTGAAAAAGATCGCTCCGATTGAATTGTCATTTAAAATTGAGTTGTGTGCGCGCTCGCATCAGTTTTTTCAATAATTTCAACTTTTTTAAAAGTCAAGAAACCGTAAATGTCTTTCGTCCAGACTTCTCAGGAATTTAATTTAACAAATTGCGTCAGTTTTTTATGCTTTGTAGTTAACTGCGGAACCACTCGCCTGCGGCTCGTGGTTCCACAGCCACTTTGACAATGTTATGACGCAATTTATCATCAATAAGAGGACAGACGCATAAAAAATTGACGTCAATTTGTTGATGTCAATTGACGTCAAAATGGTCAAACGCCGGGAATAAATAAGGGGAAAAGACGCTGTAAACTTGCCGTAAACAAAGATATGTGGATTTTATTCAAAATTACGCGAACTTTGTCAATAGCTTTTCTCGCTTTTTGATAAACTACTTAAAAAAGTCGATAAAATGTCATTGGTTAAAAAGTTGACAGTTTGACAGCTGAAAGTTGAACTTGAAAGCTTGCATAAATTAAAATGTTGTCCGTCTGTACTCTTATTGATGATAAAAATGAGCCAATCAGCGCGCGAGAATTTAGACAGTTATTGTAAAATAAAATTTTCACCAAAATTTTCCTCCAAAACTTTGGAAAAACGAAAAAAACCTCGCCATTTCGTAGACGACCTCCAGCCACTGCACACTAATAGCTGATAGTGTTCAATGGCTCAGCCAATCAGATTACAGCATTTGCATTAGTATACTAGTAGCATTCTACTAAAAATGAATATTACATCATATTTATATCATCAGTGTTCCCAATTAGTACAGCCTAAACACATCAAAATAATCTGATTTATTTTGTTTTTATTTTTTTACTTATTCAATGACGGGCTCTAAATTGAACACTTTGCTTGACTTAAGTTCTACTGAAAACATGCCTCATTTCTTTAGTGTGGTAGTTATAGCTTTTAATAAAGATCAAATATAGATTTGCATTTCATATCAGGTAATATTTACCACTTTAGGATGAAAATTAGCGATATGAAAAGTGAATGACGTTTCGATGACTCCATGTCATCATTATCAAGTTCGAAATACATCTAATATATTAAACACGAAAGACCGTGTTTGACCACATTTCCAAACACCGAGAAGAGAGTTGAAAATACGACGCGTGGCGGAGTATTTTTGACGAACTACGAGGTGTTTGGAAATGCGCTCAAAGACAGTCTTGAGTGTTTGATATATTCTCAATCGAAATTAAAACTAAGGAGAAAACGGGCAATTAAAATCGTAAAAATCTATGCTAATTAAGATCAGATATCCAAACATCGTCACCCTCATGATTTCCTTTGTTTAAACTTGATGAATTATTAATGAGTTTGAGAAGACAGAATTCTACCATGTATTCAAAACTTGATAAAGATGATATGGAGTCATCGAAACGTCGTTCACTTTTCATATCGCTAATTTTCATTCTTAAGTGCTTAACGAAAACTTTTATTATTATTAAGTTTTTTGTACAGTAAAATTACATTATAATCATTTATAATATAGATAGGACCCTGGGCACGCTCTGATTGGTCAAAAACCCATGTTTTATCAGAGTATCTATTTATTACAATTTAATGGCAATTAAATCTAAGTCTAAAGGCATACACAAACAGGCAAAGCCATAAGGANATGGTTTTGCACTCACCCCTTCCATTAAATTTTCAATCGCACTAAGTTTAAAAAAAAAAATCATCTGATATTTGTTTTTGGTGTCACAACTGTTTGGACCTATAGTACCATGAAGATCCATGAAGATCCATGAAGATCAAAGACATCAGAGGTCAAGAAAACAACGAAAAAAGACCAGAAAATGGTGTCAGGTCTGCCATGGTTTATTGATCTTTTTTTTAATAAATGGTATCCCTCTAGTGCAAAGAATGTTCACATATCACGGAAATCTAACTGGTAAATGACGCATCATGTGCTTGTTAAAATAGCAAATCACACATCTGTTATTATGTCCTGTCCCACGTCATGCAGCTGATATGGTCTCAATCACATGTCACGTTGCCAATTTGGGGCAATTACATGTCACGCAAAAATCCTTTGCCACCCTCTGTGTAGAGTTGGTTTGACAAGTTTATTTTTTCAGGGGGGAGGAGTGGTTTGGGGCGGTATCATGTAAACAAATTATACAGAGGCAATCGGGATGAATTCACATTGGTATAAAAGTCATCCCCACCCCAACGCGTTCTCTTCAGAATCTTTTTCTCAGTTGTCATAGGTTTTGTCCGATAATATGTTACAAAATACCTAACATTTTAAGTGAATCACACGAATCTCGCAGTTATGTTCGAAAAACCTTCAAATTTCCCATCCACACAGCCATGCACAGGTCTACAGTACTTTATTTATTTATTTATTTATTTATTACAATTTAATGGCAATTAAATCTAAGTCTAAAGGCATACACAAACAGGCAAAGCCATAAGGATAATCTGTGAAAGAGTGGAACACTCCATGCGAGACAGATCACCATGTAGCTAATCTACATAAATAATCATGTAACAACAATCGAAAAAAAAAAATTAAATCAAACATTCATTCCTCGCTTAAAAACTTCTTCATTCCCGACTTAAAAACTGCACAACTAGGTGATAACCTAATATCTAAGGGTATCGAATTCCACATCTCTACAATTCTATCAAAATAAGTGTTTTTAAAAGTAGTGGTTCTAGCAAAATTTGTCTTCAAGGAGCAGGCAACTTTCATTGCCTTCACTTCAACTTTCTTAAATGCATCTCTAAAGACATTGACCATAATGATCCAATCAACTGGTAATTTTCATAAATCACTTACCCTTAAATTGACTGATTTTTGATCGTTGGCTATCGTAGCAAGATCTGATTGTATAAAGGTCATAAATTTATTGACTAGATTTAAGTCAATTTTTAACTCAGGCATGTTCGATTTCCTGCTTATTGAAATTATGTAAAACAATTTCGTTATATCACATACCTATTCCGTCATTTTTTCCCTTCGGTTCATCCAAAATAACTCCGATCCACTTGCCAGATGCAAACATGGTCGCCCCAACATAAGCCACAGTTCCCACCAGTCCTTTACCAACAACCTCCACTCGCATTCCAGTTTTCGCGTTTGGCCCCGACATTTTGTTCTCGATTATAGATATAGCAGCAAATATTTCTTTCCCATAAAAAGAAGAAGCTTTCCTATCGCCAGAGTGAACTATTTAGGGACGAAATGTGTTACATTTCTCGCTTTGAGCACTCCTTTTCAAAATGGCGGCTGAAGTGTACCCAGTTGCCACTTTGACACTTCAGTGATGTTTACACAATGGAGTTCCTAAAGCTTTAGAACGAAGAGGACCCCCCGAAGGTACCCGAAGAGAAATCTTCTGCGGAGATCATATAGCTTCAACATGATTAGAAATCGTTATTTGAAAGAAATCTCAGTCAGAATGCTTCTTAAACAATTAAATTATTTGCTCTCGATCTCTATGAAGAGATAGTTACTATCACCACATAGAAATGTCGAGCTCATAAGTAATTCTTATCGTTAATTTATAGCAGTACGGCTGGCCTAAGAGGAGTGAGACGTTCCAGTTTGCTTGGGGTTAGTTCCACTCCGATTTTCTGTGGTTTAATAGCTTTCATGTGTCAGTTTTGAGGACGACACTATATTGTATAAATTTGAGTTCTGGCAGCTGGCACCTCCTAGCACCCATGCTTGTGTTGTGATTAGTGAGCTTACATCAGCCGGCGCAGGATGACTCACGCGGTGTGCAAAAACTGCTGTTCTTTTTCTTTTTGTTTTAAAATAAGTGTTATACGAAAATAATGTTTTAAAATAAACAAATAGAACAAGACTCTGTTAAGAAAAGTCAGTTTGCCAAGGAAACAAGTGGCAACCTTGCTGGAGACAGGAAAAGGAACGAGCGAGGGAGACCGGCCTGTCTTCCGAGACCAACCCTGAAAAATTGGGAAACCTAATATGAACTAAAAACAGGAAAAATCTACTATTAAAAATTAAGGCATCCTCCAATCGAATGTTCTCGTATTCAGTCTTTCACAAATCTCTTCACTCCTCATGTTTGGTTTAATTATGCAAACTTGCATTGATACGTTGTCGTTGAATAATTTACGAGCAATGTAGTTTATTCGAACTTAATTTCGCGATTTTTGCCATGCAATATTTCGGGAGATTTTAATTTCGCGATTTCAAGGAGACAAAATGAAAAAGGAGCATTAAATGTCGCGAAAGTAGGTTGTTTCCATAAACTTTACAAGGTAATAAATCATACTGTTCGAAGGAATTTCTCAACTGACAAACTTTCTCTGTTCCTTTTCCACAATAGCGATATGCTGAAATCAGATTTGACCCACACAAGAAAATGTGATTTTTTTTTAAATTAAGCAGACGTTATGAAAGTACTCGATGAAGAAACTGAGATGGCTAGCAAACTGTGGAAACGAAATAACACTTATTCATGCAATTGTTTGATTTTTAAAATTTATTATGGTGAATATTAAATTTCGCGTTGGTAAATTTCGCCACGTTTTTTTTTTCGCGAACCATTAATTTCGCAGTTTTTGTTTGTGCGCGAAAAACGCTAGATAAAAGACGGGAAAAGTGAAGGGTTTCGAGGATCAGTTGACCAACTGGTCGTAGATTGACACGTGTACATGAACTAGATTTTCACCGCGCTTACCTCGGGATAATTTTTTAAGAAATTGTGTAAGAATTTCAGCAGAAAAGTTTCTACAAGAGAGCATTCTATATTCATTTTGAAGAGCCATTCTCGATAGAAAAATAGACGAACCTTCAGTCTGACCTTTTTCTCACAATTCTCTGACGCTACCTGCCGGCCGGGAGTTTCAACAATGAAATCGATTGAAAGGCCAACAATTTTCTGTTACGCTTAAACCCGGGCAATTCGTAAACTGCGAAACCAAAACGGTTTTTAGATTCGCTACGCGTTTCTAAAGAAACATGGAAAGCTTTCAAGGGCAAACAAGTGGTTCTGTCGAACCGTGCTGATTTGAGACCGTACCAGTTTACAGGGCCACCAACAACAGTTTTCTCTCAAATGCGAATTTATCACGGATTCTTTTGTCCGTTTCTCAAAAACCTTCGGTCTTATTGCCTTTCTGAAAATCATCGCTGATCTCTTTTTCGGTACCCAAAACGACATACATATTTATCAATCTGAAAAGAACAAGGGAAACGATACGTTAGGTGCCCCTGCGAAGTATCTACAGTACTGGTTGACGAATTTCTCGAGCTTGAGCGTCATGTATCATCTCCATGTTCTCAACACTCAAAAAATATAACAAAATATCGACGGGAAGACTTATTCAAATCAAACTTCCTCAGAGAACTCAATGTTTATTTAGAAACGCCATTTTAAAAATCCCTTCAAAATTTTCCATTTTTGTTCTGAAATGCATGTTTAGCGATTCCAACTAGGACGGTTTGAGTAGGACTTTTGGTCAGTTTACTGACTGCCGAGAATATATAAACTCCATTTTGCACCCGTGAGTCTATTATAGAACCGAAAGAAGGCATGCGATTTTTAATGACTTATTATGCCCAAGCGAGCAAGATTCGTCCACTACGAACACAAGACCAAAATAGTTTTTGAATCTCTTCGCATTCCTAAATAAACGTAGGATACTCTTTTAGGTTTAAAAATTTAAAAAACTCTTTCCGTCGTAAACATTGCCAGATGAAGCAGATCTAAATATGCTAAAATTCTGGAACATATTTGCCTCCAGGCAAAGTTAAGGGGACATATTTTTAACTTGAGACCGGAACATTTCAAGACGCGAATTGTTAACGAACGAGTTCCTGGAGTTCTTGTTTACAGTATATCATTTTGTGCATTTTAGATCAAAGTTCCTCAAATATGCTAACAATAAAACGTCAGCACGGAAACTTTAGTTTATTTCAATATGATTGAATGTGACCGGTCATCATAAGCTATCAAGACAGGTGAGACGAAGGCTTTTACCAGTCAAAAATCCACAATTAGGCCCGTCCCATTGTCCGATGACCGGCGGTTATTTCCATCCCTGTCGAAGGGTTGAATAAGACTTTCCATCCAAATCTGAAAAAATTTCTGACGGCTGGGCATTTATCAGTCCCGTTACCGGCTGTCCGGCCCATGGTCACTGCGTATAGTTACTACTAGGTAATGTAAGGCTAACAAGATCGATAAATATAGAAAAGTTTTTCTTTCTTTATTTACGCAATTCAGCGTTACTATATTACCATAACCGTGTTTATTTGCCGTGACAAGTCCCCTGACAATGAAGCAGTTTTATTGACTAACAGTTATGAAAGGAATGGGTCAGAACTCAATGGAAACAACTGAGTACCTTCATCGCAGTTCGATTTATTCCTTCGAATGTAAAAAAGAACGAGTTGCTAGAACTGTTAGGGGCAGGATATCAGGTTCCTAAACAGGAATTTTTCAAGAGTATCCTTAGACTTTTTACGTATGATAACCACTTATACTGACAGCTCTTTCAACTAACACAGACTTCCGGACCAGTCTTAAGTGTGTGCCCTAAAGATTATCGTATGTCTTCACATGTGAGCGGATTCCAGCTTTCGCGATTTTTTTTTTTCGGTGCCGGAATGTTGGCGTGAATTTAAATTTCGTGTTTCTTTTTTTGGATTTTCTAGAGTTTGTGGCGATCTCAGCTGATTTCATCGATCTTTTTTAAACTGTTCAATCTTTTTTTTATTTCAAATTTAGCAAGAACAGAGGTTAGTTGGAAAATCTATATTTACACGAATAGACCACGTTGGCGGCCAATGCGCAAAACTTCATGTAGCTTGAACGTTCAAGACAACGGAAACGGAGTTATAAATAACTCGTGCGGGACATTTCAGGTTTTTTCTGAACAATAGGCAGTGAATAGGCAGACTTGTTTAAAGCTGGTTGCTTCCTTCTACACTTTGTCAGTGTGTCGAAGAGTGACTTAGTTGTGATTCTCTAAACTTGGTGTTGGTGTATTAAACAGAAGACGGCCGGACAACTATGGCTCGCTTGATGTTGCAGATGTTGCTTCTTTTTGTAGTCGCCTCGATGACTTTTGCTTCCAGGGCAGGAACTTCTCAAAAAGTAAGTAACAATTTTTGGTTCAAACTGGTGCTTTGAGAATTGTTTGGAACCAGAGTGTGATTTGGTACGCTGCGAACGAGAACACCGTAACAATTCACCTGTCTGCATGGTCCAAGCATGGTTAAGTGAACACGGGGTACCAATTTTTTCCAAGCTGTTCCAAAAATCGGTAGAAAATGCCAACCCGGTCAATCAGTCCTTAAAAATGGATACAAAACAATAATTCTGTTAATACTATTTGTAAACATTTCTAGAACTCTCTTTACTTCTGCAGAGTTCATTGCCCAGCTACGCACTGAAAGTCTCCAAGGATGGGAAAGATTATGATGAAGACGTTTCGGCCAACATAAGGGATGGAACCGAGACTTTTCACCTTCGTGAAGCCTCATCTGGCAAAGATGCTGGAGATATCATCTACGACTTAAAAAGGGTAATTATTATGTTAACTTTCTGCGTCACCTTCTGTGCTGGTAGAACCTGAGATTTGAATGAGCACAATCACGCCAGTCATCAAAAATTAAGCTGCGATCAAATGAAAACAAGAGTTAACAATGTTCCTGTACGTTATGGCAATTCGAATCAACTTTTTTTTTTCAAATCAACTGTCATTCAAGTTGGATCTGAGGTTCTAATTACCTGAATAATATCAACATAATTTAATATACGTTTGAATTCAGTTTTTCTGTTTTTTTTTTTCTGTGCGACTCATTAACGAGGCCCTCTTAGGGGTTTTCGGGATACGGGATATTTGGGCCAAAAATTAACGGGATGTAGGACAATTAGACCCTTGTTAATACGATTAATACTATATGTTAAATAAGACAAACCGTCCCAGGTACGGGTGCTCAGATACAATAGCGAGAAAGATGGGTAAAGCACTTTGTGGGGCTTGAATTTTTTGGGATTAGAAATTTTGTGCATTCATTTGTGGAACATAGACTTTGGCAAAGGTTCCTTGGGGGTCACTACTGGCAAAAAAAACCGTGCCTCACTATTCTTCTTTTGAGTCAAAGAATTGAGACTTTCTTGAGTAGTTCTGAGCCATTAAGCTTTTTTTGCAATAACAATGGCTTCATTCACACTTCCCTATGACTAATCAGCACACTTGAATAATCCCCTTCCTTGGGTATACTATTCTTGAGTCACTTAGAAAACTTGTTCAATTGATCTTTACGAAAGTTCTCTCAACTAGTTGGTAGTGCTGCAGCAAATGTTGATGGTGTTTACATGGCTAATTGGTGTGAAATATTTTTAATGAAATCAATTCCCTTGACTGGCCACGTGGCGTTATCCTGTCACAATTATTTCACAGCTGTTCTTTTTACTCCAAATGTCTTGTACATGTAACTGGCAAAGAGTCTAGCTCTGTAATCAAGCAAATTGTCTTTTAAATCTGCAGAATTTGACAATGATCCGAGTGCCAGAAGCAAGGGCCTGCTTCCTGAGTGAATCAACCAAAAATATTCCCAGTCCAGCTAACTTGCTGCAACTTCTCAAACTGGTAAGTGTAATATTTTATGGGTCACAAAGGACCAAGCATGTGTCTTTCTTAACTCTGTGTGTAAATGACTTTGTGGATCTGTTAAAGTTTTGGGTCATAGCTTTTTTTGTTATTTTTTTCATCAGCTGACTGGCAAAGGTGATTTGAAAATAACTCCTCAAACTGAAGTGAAGTTGAAGGCTCATGGTACCCTTACAGACCGTTCTCAACTGAGCAGGGAGATGGTGAATCTTTGCGCAAAGCTCACAATCTACCGAGTCACCGAGGATAATTCAAACCCACAGAACATGAATCAAACAAATGATGCAGTGGAAAATGCTGATGAGGCCCAGTTGCCTGCAAAACGTAAGTAATCAGAATCTAATATTTGTGAATTACCTGACTGTAAGCTGTATTCTTTTTGTGAAGCCACCAAGCTTGAAGAGGTGGCTGCAAGAATTCTGAGGCAAAAATGTAACATGTCAGGATTTTTTTTTTTTCACAGCAAATAACATAACTTGAACCCTTACAAAACTCAAAGTCAAGAATATATATCAAATAATTGATAAGAAGAAAATATAAAAAAATGAGTGATTTTCTACAACTATTTCATTTCTATCTTTCATTTTAAACAAATAAATCTTCAAGACTAGAGACATTATGGCCTGTAATTTTACAAAAAAAATCACAAACAAAACCTTAGTCAGTCCCATGTAGACTATCTAAAAAGACACCTTAAAATATATTTGACTTCTGTTATGTTATCACTCTGAACTACTTCATTTTTTTCAGATGCAAAACGCATTTGGAAACACGTGTGTAAAACTATCTGTTCCTTGAAATGCTGGACGAAGTGCAGTGGCTGGGTTTGCTATCCAGTGTGTAAGCATGTGTGCCGTAAAGTGTGCTCTTGGATTTTTGGGTAAAGCAGAATGTTCCTGCATTTACCCACCAATGTGGCACTATTAACACAAAGCTTTGTAATTTTAGTTTACTATTTTTTAAGTTTGGGGTTTAAGTCAGTTTTTCTATTGTCTTGTAAATGACAGGAATTTTACTGGCTGGTTAACTGGGGATTTAGCTGTAAACATTTTAAAGTAAGCCACAAGCTAAGCAAAAGGAAATAAAGCCACTTGGTCAACAGCACAACTTGATGCCTATGTGTTGTTTTTTGATTCAATACTCAGTTTCACTTGTTAAGCCAGTAACTAACAAAAGCCATGACATCAAATCTGGTACAAGCATGCCTGAACAAATCTCATGAGCTATGTGTATCTCCTTAATACCTGGAGAGGATTGCTTTCAATTTATTGCTCTTAGAGTGGTTTTCAATTGAGTGTTGAAAAGTAATTGGTTTTGCATTTACTACGCCAGACGATTGGCTTAAAAAACTTGCGCCACTTTTTCATCCAACCAGAAGTAAAATCAAAACCAATCGTGACTACCTCGCAGGCGTTTTCCCGTGCTTTGCGTCAGCTACATGAAATTGCTTCCAGTTTTGATTGGTTCATTGTATTGTCTGTGTTCTCTATGATTGGTTAGAGTGATAACTTTGGTTTTGGTTTACGACACGTAATTGAAAACCACTCTATCAAATGGCACCCAATTATATAATTGAACGTTGACTACAAAATTGCCTTGAAGGTCATTGGAAAGAGAATTGAAAATGTGTTTCCAAAGTTAATTCACCGAGACCAATGTAAATTTATTTAATCTGACCGTTAGCTCGGTCAGAACATTCACTCACTAACTGATATTCTTGATCAGAATAAATAGAGACACTCTTGGGATTTTGCATAATTTACTACATTTTAAAAATGCCTTCAATACAATTGAGTGGTCTTTCATTAACCAGATGCTGAAGCTATTCATTTCGGGGAAAGTATTCAACAGTGGGTTATTACCTTCTACACTAAATCACAGATAACAGCTTCACTATGGAGTTTTTCTCCTTGTTTAGAGGAGTCACACAAGGCTGTCCATTGTCGCAGTATTTAACCATTTTCAGAGTTGAGATCCTAGCAAATATGATAAATGAGAGTATTTGTGGGATAAGCACTTATCACAGATCATACCTCACTGCTATGTAATGATCACCTCTCATTTTGAAAATTTAAGGCTCTGGACCCCATGTACATAAATATTTTAATGGCTCTGTTAATTCCAAAAGGGCTCTTCTGCCTGCCTGTCCCCCTCTCCGACATTGGATAGGCATTTGACAGGTTTCCAGTTCCCACCAAGGTGCATTTACTTGCAAAAGGCTGCCCGGGAGTGGGGCATTCTACAATTAAGACAAAGCCAAAAATTTATACATCAGTGCTTAAGCCTAAGTACTTTAGTAAACATCAAAGCGATTAACCCTATGTCAAGAACGTAATTGTAAATTCTTTATCTGACATTTAGCCCACTGGAAACTAGCTTGTGCCCTACTAAATCAAGTTGAGAAGTGATGGCGAACACGATGGACGCGTATGGCAATCATATGTAACCTTATAAGCTTAATATATAAAGCAAACAGGGATAAGCCTTCTTTCAATGAGTTTTCTCTGCAAAAGTATATTGTCTTTGCGAGTTTATCTCTGTCTAAGTTGTGGAGATTGGTGTGCACTACTTTTGACCATGTCTGAAATCAATCAATTTCAACACGCTTTAGATAAAAAAAAGTTGATTACACATGAATAACAGTCATAATCAAACTATAACAAGATTTTAATACCAATTAAAAGAAGATACTTTTTCGCATTAGCGGTCATGCGTACACAGCGATGCTGCTACATAAGCTGAAGCGAGGAACGAAAGAATGACAAGTATTGAGCTTTAGCTTTTAATACAGGGCATTTGCACTATTCTCACAGCCCCACCATGGGGATTTTGTATGGACCAGCTACCCCACAATGGGGTATTTGCCACCTTATGAAAAGAAAAGG